AGTTGCTTTTCTTTAATAGATTTAGACTACATATCAAAGATACTACCACAGGTAATTCAATGAAAGAAAAGGAGGAACTAAAAAGTCTTACAAAGAAACAAATCATAAATCAAAACCTCCTAATGTGATATCAGATCAAAAATGTGGATTTCAACCCATTTGGTCTAATATCCGCTTGACCTAATCATCCCCACAGTACGCATGCTTGGTGGATTCCAATGTGATGGCCACTGTCTTGCTTGATTGGGCACAGAGGGGGAACTGTAACACACTCATCTATGGGTTACACCTGCACCCCAGCACGCAGGAGCTTTTTGTGAGTGACCCAGGCCAGGATGGGAACCAAGGTATCTAGTAATTAGAACAAGAAATGGGAAGTCAGGTTCCACATGTATCATCCTACTGTGGCTCTGCCACTGATTGGGGAACCTAGAATAAGTCACTTAGGCCCTGATCCTCAAAGACATTTAGGTACCTAACTCCCATTGAAATCAGAAAGTTAAGTGCCTAAATACACTAGGCCTAAGCTTCGCTGCCCATATTTATCCATATGTAAACTATAATAATACTTACCTTTATCAGAGGGGTTTTGTGTTTGTAAGTTCAATGAGATCACTGAATGAAAGGTGCTGCAGAAGTGCAATGTATTTCTTAAAATGCTTACCTTTGGTCCTCTAGGCCCTGGATTCCCAGGAGAGCCTGCTGCACCTGGTGCTCCTGGATTAACCTACAATCAGAAACACAAATTAAAGGGTGCATTAGAGAAAAGCTAATGTTCACCAGAGCTTGGAATGGCTCTAGAAGTATTCATTACATTTGGCCCATCTAGTGGCATTTTTTCAAAGCTTTCAGGAACCACAGTAATAGTGATGTGCAAAAGACAACCATGCAAATTCTTTTCTCTTTTCCATGTAAACACTTTGAGATTTCCAATACTCCTAAGATATTATTTGTTAAAGCATCATAGAGGCTATACATCCACAAAGTAACTGGAACTGAAAGCACGAGTCTCATCACACAATTGAAGTTTATGCCTAAATCTTGATATATTGCTCCAGATCCTGACTGAGTTTCACTGGTGTAACTCCACAGTAACACTGTTGAAGTCAACGGTGTTACACCAGTGTAAGCGAGAACAGAATTCAGCCCACGGCATCTAATAGCCCCTAGTCTTTCACCAGATTTCAGGCTTGAATCTCATGGGCAAGTCCCTATAGCCACTCCCAAATGAAAACTCTTACTAACTAAGGGTCAGATTCTGCCTTTAGTTACACTGGTGTATGCCCAGAGCAAGCAATGGAGTTACTCCAGTATACACCAGTATAACGGAGAGCAGAATCTGGACGTAAGTGTTTTCACTGTAACCATGAAAGAGCTCAGTAACACAAAGTTTCTCTTCTCTCCTGATTTACAAACCAACATTTGCTTTTCAAGTCCATTATTTTGGCACCATGGTCTAAAATGACTAGTGTAACGCTCTCATTTGAATGTTCATTACTAGGTGTTATAGCAAAAAAATCCTCCACTTACATAGACCTTATTTACAAAGGTCCAAATATAATTTTGAAAAACCACACTGTCGAGAAGTTGACAAGCAAAAGGTGCAAAATAAGGATATATTCTTTAAAACTAACCTGAGGGCCTGGTATTCCTTGTGGTCCTGGAGGGCCTCTGACCCCTTGTGGTCCTCTTAGACCCTGGTAGATAAAGGACATTTTAAAAAAATGTATAATGTTGCTAATGTGCCAGGGCAGAATTTCACCCAGGATATTTGAAATTGGTGTGAACAAAATATTCCAAAAGGAAAATAGAAAATTGAACCTAACGGCATGCTTTCTCCATACATGTCATGTAAAATAACTCAGCCTTTCTTTCTGCTACCTGTGAGCCTTGTAGGCCAGGATCTCCTGGATAACCGGGTTCACCACGATCTCCTTGCCCACCCTGCCAGAAAGTGAGGAAAAAAAATCACTTTACTTCATGACACGTTTACATCTACAAATAAACTGATCAAGCAATATTACTGATGTTTCCAGAAGGCTACAGTGATTTGCAAGCATCAACCACCACTGAAGAAACATCAGCTGTTTGGGGGTCTGAGATGGATGGAGGAAAGGGAGTGGGAAAGGCTAGTTGTATTTGCTTCACATGGTGATGAATTCATTTCAACAGTGTCAATGTCAGCACTAATCTAGTGCAGCCCACTCAGTCAGTGCAAGAATTATAACTAGCCACAGTATAGAGGCGACAAGGGTGGTGGGAGTGGAGAGTTTCTTGAGCCTTCTTCCCTCTCCACATGCACACCTATATCAGACTGCTCATAATCTAGCCCAGCACTGAGAGTTTTCCCAGAGGTGGACACCGATATATGCCTCCCATTTTAATTCCAGCTGCTCAGAAAACTGCACCCCAAATCTTTGTGGAAAAATTAAGTTGTTAGTTTTTAAGATCAGCAGCGGAGTATCACTCACACAAAGCTGTCATCTGCACATGAGTCAGTTCAACTGACATCCGTGAGAAAGATCTCTTCATATTGTCTCTGTTGGACTGAGTCAAATGTATGAATTAGCTCTAAGCAGTTCTGGGGAACACTGGGGATGTTCTTTCATTGGGGAAATTATAAACATATGTCCAAGGATTCTTTGGAACTCAGGCAATTCGAAAAAACAAAGCCATGGGGAAAATTGGATTTAAAACACTATATTCCGCAGTTCTGAAGAATTCTGCCCTCTTCGTACTATGATTGAACTGGGACAGAAATCAAATGAAAAGAAAAAGAAAACACACACATGGATTTGAACAAACCTAGTGGTAGCCAAAGTTAAGATACTGCAACATTGGACATCTGTTACAATGCCAGCTGTAGAAAAATGTATGTCCCTCTATATTTTGCAGTATATGTGATTTTCTCATACAAGGCTGCCTTGTATGAGAAAAGGCACATTGGAGTTGGACCCAAAACCCATTGAAATCAATGGGAGGCTTTCTCTGACTTCAATGGGCTTTGGATCAGGCCCAGAGATAATTCTCTCTTTTTCTTATGTGTTTCCCTTTTTTCTTTATTTCTCTTTTCTTCCTTACCACTTTCTCTTTTCCTTTGCAACCCTACCTAAAACTAGTAGTGTTGTTCATGTGTACAATACACACTTCTCCTAGGCTCTAGCAGTCTTTCTGCCCAGTGGTTACCCCTGTCTCAGAATGGCTGCCTTTTGTACTTCTTGTAATCAAAAAGTCATTGTCACAGAGTATTTAAAGTCTGCCTTTTTTGTTTTCATGGAACACAGAAGCTGATTGGAGGTGAAACTCCAAAACATTTTCCTTTTCAGAAAATAGAAAAAAAAAGTGCCATGTTGCTGCTGCATGGCAAAGTACTTTATTTTTTTTGTACCACTTTAACTCTAGTGTTGTCAGGTTAGCACCTTCTATAAGCCATTAAAAATAGTAAAACTGCATGGACATTAGTGAGTTTTGGCCCTCTCTGTGCAATTAAAAGACATCAGAAGTTCTTTGTCAGCCCTGATCACAAAACACTAATATCTGTCTTCATTTGAACGGCATTGGTTTTTTGTTTGTTTTAAACACAAAATCCTCCAGGCTGCCTGATCTAGTAGGAGCCAGATCCTGTGGTCTAAAGAAGGGCTGCTGAAGACACTAGATGCAGAGGAGGCCAGGCAGTTCTACTTGCTGTGTAGGGGGGACAGCATGTGGGCCCCCAGCACTAGTGTGCGGTGGAGCTGTGTGCTCTGCATCCCGGCACATAGATGGTGTCTGGGGTGAGACGAGGCCAGTGGATCTATGACTACATAGAACCAGCACCAAACCTGCTGCGGAGGAGAGCAGCAGTCAGAGGGCTGCTGCTACCCTACAGTTGCAATGGCGAGCAAGGAGCATCTCCACTGTTGCTGGAAGCTGAGTCCGGGCAGAGGCCTTAGCCCTGAATGCCCATTAATTCACGCAGATGGCTATTCTATTTTGAAAAGCTGGGATGTAAATAATTAAGAGGAATTTATGCCATTGTAATTTGTGTGGAAAGTTTTCAGTTGTGAGCCCAGCTTTGCCCCCTGACTTTCTGAAGAGATGACCACTGCCCTAAAAGGACTTGTCCGTTTCTGCACCCAATGATTTTATGAAGGAAGGTCAACATTTTCTCTGACAACCACCTCAGAACTCCATTGCTTACTAGCACCACATACCACATAGTACAGCCAGACAAATGACAACTCCCCTGACTCCCCGCCCCAACATTCTCCAGAGCTGTGATGTGTAATGGTCTTAAAACTGTCCTGTTAATGTCACAGATCATCAATTACTACTTTTTGGCTGAAGCCCTAGAGCAAGATGCAGTCCTAAATCGCTTCGATTTCTGCAGTGACACCACCCCCACCCTACAAGTAGACATACCTGCCCTAGCTTGAACAATAGCAGTGAAGCCGCAGTGGCATGGGCTAGCCACTCAAGTACATCCCAGGATCCTGAGTGGGTTTGTACAGCCTGTACTGCTGCCCATCTTATTCAGATCAAAGCTAGCTCAGGTATATCTGCCCATGCGGCAATCAGTGTAGACGTAGCCTTAGCGGGTAGGCAGACAAGATGAATGGAAATAGAAAATGCAAATGAACGAACTCAGATGAGGGGTGGTGGCAGGAGCAGTAGCAAAGACCAGTGACAGCAATGAAAGGTAGAACTGATTAAGTGAGCAGCCTCAGGATGCATTGTAGGTAGGTAAGTGACCATATCAGTAGGTACGGTGGAAAGGTCATGAAAGACAGAGAGAGAGGAGCCTTAAACACAACAAGGGAAAAGGGCTTAGAAGCCGGAAAAGATAGGGGAACCCAGAATCCAGGAGAAAAAAAAGGGTAATGTAGAGCAAAAAATTGACCCTGAAAATGAAAAAAAGGGAATACTGTGGCACAAAGACCCCTTGGCAAAGAGTCCCCTGTTCTTAGCAAACAACTCTCACCTCAGAGCTGACAAACTCACTACACCAAGCACATCTTACAGGATATTTATCCATAAAGTATAACATGTAAGGTATCTACAGAAGGCTTTCACTACACGTGTCTCACGAAGTGGGTATTCACCCATGAAAGCTTATGCTCCAATATGTCTGTTAAGTCTATAAGGTGCTTTTTACAGATCCAGACTAACACGGCTACCCCTCTGATACAGATGGTTTGTAACTTTTCAAGATTTATAATCATTGCAAGATGTGTGTACGGGTAATATTTAAGGAATACTGTATTTATATTGAAAATATGCTTTAGAGACTTGGAGC